TGGGGCCCCGCCCCCTCGCCCCCGCCCCCCCAGGGACAGGCCGAGGGACTGACGGACCCCAGCGGAGGCAGGCTGCTCGGTGGGCTGTCTGGAGCCTTTGAGGGGCCCTGGAGCTGCTCTTGCCTCTGAGTGGCGCTGGGTCCTGATGAGAGCCACCTGCTGTCCTATTGCGCTGCGCTCTCAGTGAGCCAGGGGCAACCTGACAGTGCTGGAGGTCACCGAAGTGTTTCTCCATCCTGAGGAATTTGCTTCTCTCAAGCCAAAATCTATAAAGCCAGTTGACCCCTTCTTCAAGACCATAGGGAGAGAGGGGATGGCGCGAGATGGAGGCCGACTCCAGCTGGGTGGCAGGGCTGGTGGAGAGTTCCTGGGTTCTGAGCTCATCCGTTTCCAGTCAGATCAACCTTACATGGGTCTCAAAAATGCGGTTCTAGCACGTTCTTACCTCTCCATCAAGGAAGGCTTCTAGGGTTGAGTGGGTCCCTCAAGATGTGGTGGAATTTATGAAGCGCTAGAAGGCGGTGGAGAGAACCAAAGGGAAACATGCATTGATTAAAAAAATAAAATTATGCTCCTATTATTTAACTTGTATTCCTAAATGCACAAATAGCTGTCCACTCAAGGTTTTCCTTCCCGTGATTTTGGAGTCAGGGGACTGGTGGCAGGTCATGAGGCTTGACCTACCCATTCTGAGTGTCATTTAGAGTGAAATGAGAACATCCATAGGCTCTCCTCCCCTAAGTGTGAATTGTAATGGGGAGAAAGGAACATTTCCCCTTGAGTCTTCCTGATAACTCCGTCCTGTGAAGTGGGTATTATTCTGCCCAAAGCACACAACCGATAAGACACTGGGGGCAGAGCTGGTAGTCAGATCCCAGCAGGAGGGTGCCTTCAGCTGTGCCTTCAGGGCATGCTGAGGATCGAGAAGGACCAGATTCCCAGTGATTGAGTTTTGTATTTAGTGTCTGCCTGCTTTCCTACTTCCACTGATGTTTTGATCGTTTCTAGTGTGAGTTAGGGATGGGGAATGAGGTCCTTTACCTCCTAGTGGCTGGAGAGAATCCACTTCTGCAGCAAACCACACCCCTTCCCCAAATCTGCTTGGCCATAGGAGGTGGTAGCCAGTTTGTCACTCTTCCCTCTACTGGGTTGTCTTTGAAAATAGAATGAGGCCCAGGTGACAGTTCCCCTGACCTGCTGCTTCCCTTCTCCCATGAGATCTGTACCCATCCCTAGGGGCCCAGCTAGCTGGGGTCATCCAGGTGGATAAGGGCTCCCAGGAGGAAGTGTGGGAAATATAAGAGCAAGCACAGGGTACAGTGTTGGGAGACCTCGGTTCTAGTCCTGACTGATGCCAGCCAGTTCTGTGGCTTTTTACCAACCACTTAATTCATTCTACAGATACTGGCGCTGGGTCTATGGATACAATGGTGACAAGATAGACATGGTCTCTGTCCTCAGAAAAGTCTGTCTAATGAGAAATAAACAAGCAAACCTTAGAGGGAGATGTGCCCATAATGGGGGAAGACAGTGTGCCCTTGGGTGTATGACAGGAGGCAGCCCCTGGCTCAGACAGGAGGAGGTTGGTCACGGCAGCTTCCTGCATACAGGGCCTTTATTTTTTTAAAAACCCATATTTTTATTGATTTTTTAGAGAGAGGGCAAGAGTCAGAGAGAAAAAAACATCAGTCGAACCGCTAACCTTTCGGTGCGTGGGACGATGCTGAACCCACTGACCCATACTGGCCGGGGCCATACAGGGCCTTTGAAACCGAGACCTAAAGAATGTTCGACAATGATCCAGGTGAATCAACATTTCCTCATAAGTACCATGAAAGAATTATACAGATGAGCTTAAGATTCTCTTTCATGCTTGATCTGGACTCCTATGAATGCTTCCAGGTGTCCCCAACACCAAAGGGCACTCAGTAGAAGCTATGAACCAAAGGAATGCAATGAAACTCAAAGGCTAAAGTGAAGGGAACTACAGATGACTGATTTCCTTCCCTCCATCATCAGCTAAACTGGTGATTGCAGTGGGGGGTAGATCTCCTGTCCCTCTTGCACCTTCCCCACCCCCACTTCAGCTTCCTTGACCAGAATGTGAATCTCCTTTTAGGCAGAAAATCATGGATGACCAAGCACATCAGAGAAAAGAGATGCCCCTTGTTCCAGCCAAGGTGCAGCCTGGCAGCTCCTGTGGGGCTACAGGACGCAGCGTTAGTGGCAAGTGGATCTAGCTGTCTGTCCACAGCCAACAGACAAGGGAGACAGACAAACAGACATGCGACTCAGAAATGATCTTAACTGCTGAAACTCAAATCTCAAATTCCTTAGCGGGAGACCTGAATGCCTGATAGGGAATCTAATTACGTCAGGTGACTCAGCTGCCAGCAGATCCTGGGGAATTCCTGGGTCATGTGATCCAATGTGCCAGGAATCTGGGCTGAGGTATCTGAGTCCTGCCTGCCCCCCACCATCCAATCCGAGAAGGAGGAAGTCTACCCTTCCCCACCCCCACAACTAATAGCTGATCGAAGTCTGAAGGGCTCTGGAGATAACTATTCGTTGGGCCTACTAGGTGCCACTCTGGGAAAACAATTAGGAACAAATGTCTGTCCCAGTCCCTACACATGTGGCAATCTGCATGTTTGTGTGGGTCCGTACTAGTAAAGGGAATGTTAAAATTCGGTTCAGAGCAAGGACTGTGGTGATATGCGGAGTGCAGGGTGCTTGCAGGAAGGCAGGTAAGGCGAGGCTTTGGGGGTGAGGTGGGGAGTAAGATGGGTCTTATGAAAAAGAAATTCTCTTGAGTCTTTCCTAAGAATTAGCTCCCCACTCTCAGGAAGTTTACAGTTTAGGAAGGGTTTGTGTGTTTAGATAAACACACAGTTTACTGTATAATCCAAGGCAGAAAGTGGGAAGACTCAAGAGAGGTACAAAGTGCCATGTGGGGCTTTAGGGTGGGTTTGAGAAAGGGCTTCTCAGGAGCCCAACTGGGCCTTGGAGGGAGTGTGGGATTTGGTAAACTGTGAAGAAAGGCCTTCAGGGATGGGGTGGGAGGTGAAGGGGTAGGAGTCTGGGGAGGAGATGCTGAGAGTGGGGGTGATAAGAGAGAGTAAAGAAGGGTCAGCTGAGGGCTCTGCTCTCTGTATCTGATGAGCTAATGCCTCCCTTGGAATTTGCGTTAGTATGGATGCCTGAGCCCCTCTTCCCTTTTCTCTGGAAAATGGGCTGCTGCCGGCTGGAGGGCTCAGTTTACCATCAACTTTCAGCTTGAGACCCCAACAGTTAAATTCCCTTTCCCCAGAACTCAGAGGGTGAGTTACAGCCCTGTCACCCCGGTGGTGGACAATACAGCCTTTAAGGTGTTGACCTTCCCCTCTCAGGGGCTAGTGGAACTGTCTAGATAGGAACCTGCACATTAGAAGCGGTCCTCCAAGCCTGGGAGGTGGGAGTCAAAAGAGAGGGGTGTAAATCCTGGACGGCCTTGGCAAATTAGGATTTCTGACTCAATGCTGCCCTCTTCTGACCAAAGTAAGTTTAGCAAGTTTTGTGAGATGCCCAAATTGGGGTCTGTTAGGCAATTTGTTACTTCAATGATTTAATCATTGGTTCATTCATTCATTCATTCAGAAAACATGCACTGAGCAACAACAATAATAGGTATAATAATAAATCTAACACTGAGTGAGCATTTTGGATATAATGTCATGTCCAAGACCACCTGGGAGTAACAGCTGGGAGGCAAACCCTGCTAGTCCGATGTCACAGCTTGTTCCTAAGGTTTGCATTGCCTTGTGATGCCCAACTGAGCTCCAGAAAGACAAGATGGAACTAGTGAGCTGCTTACAATCTAAATTCTAGCAATGCTTACCAGGAATTTAGGGGAATTCTGTGCTGCAAATACCAAAAACAGTCCCCAAGCTCTTGATTACCATGGGAATCGAATGCTATTCAGTGGCTAGGCCCTGAGGGGGA